CTTCCCTCCCTTCCCTTCTTTTCATTCTCTCCTTCTCTGTCTCCCTCTCCTTCCCTCCCTTGCTGTCTCTATTTTCTTTCTTTTGTTTTGTTTTTCCTGATTTGGTACTGGGAAGTTTAGAATAGCAAAGGGAAATGGTTTCTAGTTCAGAGCACTGTTTCTCAGCCCGGGTGATACAATAATCTGAGACAGTATTAAAAGAAAAGTGAGCACCTTAATCACTTGACTTGGAATTTCCAGCAATGTGTTCTGAGAGGGTTGATGAAGCAAGACCTCAGGAGAAGTCTTCAAATGCACTGCCAACTTGCCCACACTTGGCTAAAGTGACCGTGAGCTTTCTGCAGTCTGAATTAGTGGTCAGAGTCATTGACCACAGCACAGCTGTGCGACAATCACTTTTGAATATGGAGATACTTTATCCTTATCTCCCTCCAATCCTCTCCACCAGCTCTGGAGTCAGCAGGAGAGACACAGAGAGACAGCAATCCCAGTGATGCTTTGTGAGGGTGTGGAGTGGGGTAGTTTGCTGGAACTTAAGCTCTAGGTCCATCCCATCCTGGTGGGAGGATTACAGAGCCCCACCTCTGCTTGGGTGTTTCCCACTGATGTGCGCTGACATCTTGCTGCCCAGGCTTTTGTGATACTGTGGCAATTATGCCAGTTTTAACCATGGAACTGAAAATATGTTTTCCTTATGTACCTGCTCTCTGGCTCCCGCTACTCCATGACGCTATGCCTTGAAAATAATTCCCACATATTTCTGGTTCCTTGCCTTTTTTTTTTTTTTAAGATTTATTTATTTATGAATAAAAGAACTGGGGTATAGGCCAGAGGTGCGGGGGGTGGGGGGGTGGGCGAGCAGATTCACCAGAGACAGAGTGGGGAGCAGAACAGGTGGATTTACTGATACATACTGCTGAGGGGAGCAGTGGGTGGGACAGGAGAGGTCTGCTGTGCCCTGTGGTTTGCTCCCTGGATGCTAGGGATAAAGTAAGAACTCATGAGAAGTCTTCTCAAATGCACTGCCATCTTGACCACACGTGGCTAGCTTTCTGCAGTCTGAATTAGTGGTCAGAGTCATTGACCACTGCAACTCATGTTGCAGTGACTGTGAATAGCTTTATAGAATTGTGCTTTAAACACTTTTGTCACCAGGGAGGCCCCTATTTCTGATTATTTTCACTGTTTCTGTAGTACGAGGGACATAGCCAGTGATTTTTATTTCGTAGTTCATTAATTTTGGAGATACTGAGCTCTGGTGGGCCAGGATAATAGGGATATAAGTGTGAATAAGACACAGTTCCTGATGTTAAATACCCTGGATAGAAGAATGAGCAGCACCAGTGAAGAACGAGAGGTAGACTGGGAACACAAAAGGGAGTGGACATCACTCCAGTAGGATCTGGAACACGCTTCAGAGGAGGTGACCCTGGAGTTGAACCTCTAAGGATAAGTAGAAAGCAATTGGACAGATGCCGTGGTGAAGGGTGTGCCAAGTCCTTGTTTATTTGATGCCAGCTGTGGGGTTGCCAGACCAAAGAAGACTTTGAGGTCAGACAGGGACTGCCCAGATTCCTTAGTCTGATAGGGCCCGCGCCAGAGCCTTCTGGGAATCTCCCATTGACAAGGTTGAGGGGCTCTGACGGACAAAACAATTTCTCTTACATTTGAAATCGAGGCTCCAACTGGAGGGGCTCCTTTGGACACTGCTGGGAGGAGGAACGTGTATCCATCATGATTATATCTTCTTAGACGGACCCCCAAATGCTTGGGGGGGGGGTCATGGCAGCTCACAGTGGCCTATTTCTCATTTTCATTGGCTAGAGCTCTTTGTTGGGGTCTGCGCTCACCCTTTGTTACTTCTCCACACTGTTCAAGGCCGATAGGAACATCC